GAAAAGATGCTACAATCGCAGCATCTACAGCGATGGGAAAAACCTTCTTTTCCACTGCCAAACCTTCCAGAAGAATCCGGGGAAAGAGCCCCCAGATTTATTGTACATAAAAAAATACACAATCTTGGCACAAGGTCTAAAAGGAGGAATGGGTAGAGGCTGGTCGTCATTTGCTATCTTATACCTAGCTAATCCGATTCACGACCCCTTCACTCGTTACAAATATCCACCACAAGAACCCATCCATCGCCAATCAATCCTCCATATACCATAATACCGCATACTCTCAAGAGACCTACAAAAAACACCCCATAACTTCAAAATTTTATGATCATAAAATCCTATACATAAAAATCTATAAATGATATACAATGAACGTACAGGGGATGAACCCAAAAACAAATTAAAATGACAAAAACTAAATAAAAGTTAACTGATGTTAGTTGGACCCGTCAAACCATAAAAATATTTAAGAGAGGCCGCTGTATTCATCCTTTAGACAAAATCAAATGGCTCTCTCACAAAGGGAGAGGGAAGAAATACAGCCATGGGGGGAGAAGAAAGCTGATACATTCAAGATGAAAAGTGTATGGGGAGGCAAACAAATTGGAGAGGTTGAGAATCTTGACTTGGATCATAACCAAAGTAGAAGCCGGAAACAGGCCGGGAACAATTACATTAACTAGTACACAAAAATGAAAATCAAGGCTAGCTCCGTTCACGCGAACCAAGCTCGCCTCAGTCACCCACATTTCGCTGAAATCTGTCGAAACCAATCGCTTTCTATCAGTTCTAATCTTCATCTTGAGCTGATACTCAAAGAATCGGATTAGATCCTGATGAGGAAGACGATCACTTCCTGCAATCACGTCGTCCAAATCACCAGTCGGGCCGTGACCAGCAGCGATAGAAACACCATTCGTTTCACCCTAGAATACAGCAGGGAGACACATTGTCACACGCGTATGCGCGATCAATGAGCACGAGTTTTTCGGGAGCGATACGAACCGTCAACTCACCGACATGGTCCCATAGAGGGGCGGACCCGAGGACAATAATAGAAGGCGTGCGAAGCCGTTTCTTCTGTGCCAAGATAGCATCGTTTACAAATCTGACAAGCTCCATATGAAGGCCATGTCATTGAGAGATGGCATATTTAGAATCAGTCGCAAGGTAAGCGAAAACTCAGGGTTGCTGAGGTAATCCGCTGCTGGCACCCAAGACCTGAAGGAGCGAAACTCCTCCAAGCCAAGCCGCTCACGTTTGTCCTTCTGGTTAACATTTTCGGGCCTATCTTGAGACTCTTTAATGCTTCTTCCATAGTCTCTCTACTGGCACCAATCAGTTTTGATGTTCCCACATCGGTTGTCAGTTGCGAAATAGTCCTGATTTTTATTGCATCAATTGCCTCTGGCATAATAACATGCGACATCCTTTTGGGATCTGCCCTCATTCCAAGTCTATTTTTATTTTTTGCGGTGACGTTTCTTTCATATTCACCGTCTCCGCCATGATAAGGACCAGCCTAGTCCTACTACGGCCAGGTAAATGAAAAGGTTTGCCTATATGTTTTCTTTTTATACCGGAACCGAATAAGGACACCTCGAGGCGGTGTAATATAGTTAGCAAGCTTGTCTCGCTAGAACAATTACGACTGAGTTTGATCCTCACTGGGTGCCCCATACTTTCGGCTTTGTGCCACATCTAAGCTATGATTGGAAAATCACTATACTGAAACCGAATAAAGTCTTGCGACTTAGTAGTCGCGGGGGAGGTAACAAAAATAACTCAAAAGAAAACTCAACTTAGCGTGAACACGTACAAACAAAACGAAATAAACGTCAAAAGAAATACAAAAAGAAACTTAAAAGTTTGGCTAACAAAAAAGAAGACACAAAACAAAACAAAATAAAACATCATGGCATT